TTGGAGTCTCACTCTGTCGCCCAGACTGGAGTGCAGTGGCCGCTCCCGGCCACCGCAGCCTCGACCTGCTGGGCTCCGGCGATCCTTCCGCCTCAGCCTTCCAAGTAGCCGGAATTACAGGCATGTGCTACCATGCCCGGCTAATTTTTTTTATTTATTGTAGAGATGAGGTCTCGCTGCCCAGGCGGGTCTCGAACCCACGGGCTCAGGCAATCCACTCACCTCAGCCTCCCAAAGGCGCGGGATTACAGGCTGAGCCACCGAGCCCGGCAAATCCTGATTCTTATCTGTAGGAAGTTGATTGAGAGCAGATTCATAATTTGGTGCTTATTTTAAATATTTTAAAGTTCAACTTAAGACCTAATGCGCTGAAATTTTATTTAAATTAATTTTTAGGGTTTTTTTATTAATACTAAGGCTTTGAAATTAATCAAAATGATTAGTTTAGCTCTTGATTTACATTCAATAGAAAAAAATTAATAAACACAAATAGTCACTAAGTCATAAAATTTCTTTCACTGAATTAAATGAGCCACCCTTAGGTGTGACTCTTAAAAGATCTAAACTTTGATTAATGAGTATATCACTTTAGACTAATGATAAGTAATATGTGGTAAAGTTAACTCCAAGTTAAGTTGCTTCCAGTCATGTAGGAAGTTCATAGGTTCAATTTCACTTTAAAATGTTTTCATAGGTCTTGTAATTTATTCCAAGGAAGCTTTGATCATTTAAATGGCTGTTTTCTTGGCTTTTCCTTTATTCTCCACATTTCAACTCTTGCTCATTTATTATAAAGGTAACCCAAATGCTCCCAGTGCTTCTCAAAAATGTATTTCAATTCACTACTTAAAACGTACAACGTTTTATAACCTGTTTGACAATTTTTCATTCAATTAGCTTTTAGTAATCAGTACTAGTAATAGATCATAGAGGCTCAAAGGTGGGAGAAATAAATTCTGCAAGGCTTAAAGTTAACGTAACTTGATCTAGGCATCATGAAACTTTAACATAAAAGATAGCTTAGAGCCGGCCTCGGTAGCTCAGCCTGTAATTCCGCGCTTTGGGAGGCTGAGGTGAGTGGATTGCCTGAGTCCGCGGGTTCGAGACCCGCCTGGGCAACTTGGCGAGACCTCATCTCTACAATAAACCAAAAAATCAGCCGGGCATGGTAGCGCGTGCCTGTCCTTCCAGCTACTCGGAAGGCTGAGGCGGAAGGATCACCGGAGCCCAGCAGGTCGAGGCTGCGGTGGCCGGGAGCGGCCACTGCACTCCAGTCTGGGTGACAGAGTGAAACTCCAACTCAAAAAAAAAACAAAAAAAGATAGTTTAGCTTTTCCACTGTTCTTTAAATATTTCCTTTCTTTCTCAACACTTAAATTTTCCAAGATATTAAAAGATAAATATATGAGTATATATATGAATTTTTAACCAGAAAATTTATGATGCAACTTTAGCATCAACTAATTTTTGTTAGGCAGATTGTATTTCTGGTGGCACCTATTTAGTTCCTTCACATAACATTTATGAGGGACCCAAGAGTTCTACAGTTCCTAGAATTTCATGGGTTACAGAGGCATTAGAGAGATGGCACCCAAAGAAATGTGTTTAATTAGGCATTTTAATCTCTGTTTTGACATGTCTTTTCTCAGAAGCATTTAATGTATTATTTTATCTCTCTCTTTCTAGCTGTAAAATAATAAACAAATATACTGGCTCTTAAGACATGTTAATACAGTAGTGATTTGTTTAAATTACATAAAATGTCATCTATATATGAAGTTTGCATAGTTTTGGAACTGAGCCATTAGGCACATATTTTGTGCTTCTGAAAATAAGAATGCTCCGTGGCTTAGAATGATACTGTATTGGCTAATTGTCCCTCTTATAAAATGTCCAATACATACAACAGATTTATTATAGGGTTTTTAAAAAAACTTCATATGAGTGTTCACTTCAGCAGCACATACACTAAAACTGAATGATACAATGAAGATTAGCATGGCCCTTATGCAAGGAGGAAGCAATCTATATTTTTCAAAGTTACAGTTAGATAGAAGGAATAAGTTCTGGTGTTTTATCGCACAGTAGGGTGACTATAGTCAACAATAATATGATTTTATATGTCACAATAGATAGAAGAGAAGATTCTGAATATTCTAAGCACAAAGAAATTATAAATATTTGAGGTCATGGATTTGCTAATTACTCTGATTTGATAATTGCACATTGTGTACATGAATCAAAAAAGCACATTGTATCCCATGGATATATACAAATATTATGAGTCAATTAAAATTAAAATTAAACTTTACAAAATTTGCATATGAGCAAATGCTATATGTAGGTGAAAATAGGCAACTGCTATTGTGATGATAAGGCAGCACAGAAAAAAAAACCTATCTGCTTTAAAATATTTTCCCTCAGCTGGGCTCGGTGGCTCAGCCTGTAATCCCAGCACTTTGGGAGGCCGAGGCGAGTGGATTGCCTGAGCCCACGGATTCGAGACCAGCCCAGGCAACTTGGCAAGACCTCATCTCTACAATAAATCAAAAATTAGCCGGGCATGGTAGCGTATACCTATAGTTCTGGCTACTTAGAAGGCTGAGGCGGCAGGATCACGGGAGCCCAGCAGGTCGTCGCTGGGGTGGCCGTGAGCATGCCACTGCACTCCAGCCTGGGTAACAGAGTGAGACTCCAACTCAAAAAAGCAATTTTTTAAAAATAATAAAACAAAATATTTTCCCTCTAATCTGCCTTTGGAATAAGACACCATCTTCAGATATTTCTATGACAATCAATGAAGTACTATAGTAGATAATATACCAGGATCATTGTATTACATGAAACAGTCATGCCCATTATTATCCATTCAGAATCTAGCAAGGCCATGAAGGAATGGGACACAGTGAGACAGTGAGACAGTGAGACATTTTGAAAAGCTGAAGATGATATGAGGTAATGAGACATTCCGTCGGGGGGGAAGGGGATGGGGTAGGTGGGGAAACTCCAGGTAGCAGGAGGACAGCTGAAGGGTGGAAACACCCAAGGGAGCAAGCTCTGAAGGAAAACCTGAGATTTTTTCAGGGATACGCTTGCCTCCAATGTTGGCCTAGGGTTGGACCCAAGAGACACAAAAGAGAAAGTAATGTAGTCTTATAATTTTCAAATAAAGCCAAATTTTGCATGTAAGCTCTTCTGAAGTATTTTGTTCTTTATGACACAGGAAAAACATAGGATGACTGTGCAGACATCACTGATACTGAGGCTAAGAATTTTGCATTTCCCTGTGTTATTTAAGCCATATGTTTAAACTCTTGCTCATCTCCTAAGAATTGAAAATGAAAACGAATTATCACTGTAATGTGCTGTATACATACAAATTAGTTTTACTGTGATTCTAGAACTTAAAAATGAAGCCATTTTTTTCCTCATAATTACTCTTGATATTTTGCCACTGACCCACTTTACCTAGAAATCAAATCCAAATGCAGCATTTAAAAATCAGATTTAAGTGCATTTTAAACAAATGGGATAGAAGTAAAAATAACTCATTAGGCTATTTGACAGAGTTCACTCGTAGGCCTTCTTTCACTTCTAATCTATCTCTAAACTTCCCCTTTATTTGGTTTGCTTTATTCAACACATGCTATTTTAGTTCCATATAAAATAGAGTATTATTTTTATCAACAACTAACTTTTTCCTCTTAATAAAAAACAAAATGTACCACTCCATGTTTTATTATGTTCACATTTATATATGTTTTATCATTTTTAATAGAGAAACACTCAATGACTTCAGAATAAATTTTAGAGCATTGGTTCAGTGTTTATTTCACTTTTGATTGTTAGGCATAATTATTTGGATTTTATTGCTTTTCTCTTTTTTCATAAAATTTTCATTCTCCATCAAAAACATTTGGCCTTTTATAACCTAGCCATAGCAAACAATAAAGGAATATCCTTTAGTCTGAGACAAAAAACTTTGATAAAAATAATTTGTCAATTGCCTCTGTAATCGTATTATGTCAGGGCCCTAGTATTAAAGAGCTGTCTTATAGCTGGTAATTTGAATAGCTCATTAGTTTCTCTAAAAACAAGGGCTTTTAATCTCTTCTTGTAGGTTAAGAGATTCTTATGGTTTAAATATATTTTGGAAATTTGTTCCAACAGCTAAATTGAAGATGTCTGATATTTTCAATTACGTAAAGCATTTATGATTTTAAGCTCCCGGCAGAAGCCTGCTGCTGAAGGAGAAAAAAAATTAAGAGCTGTTAGTCAGAAAGACACTTATGTAAGAACTGTCACATTGGTCATTGGTTTGAAAGCAGGAAGTCCTATATTTTAGGATCAAGGCTTTATGGAATCTTTATTGAGCATTTTCCCCTCTCAGAGCTGAGACAAATGGCTGATGAGGGAAATCTTGAGAATGTTCACAGCTTTTCTCTTTCATTCTGCTGCAGCCCGGAAGATGGTGAGATCCATCCAGAAATCTGTCGTCTTTATATCCAGCTGCAGTGCTGCTTAGAAATGTATACAACAGAGATGCTAAAATCCATATGTCTGCTGGGGTCTCTTCAGTTTCATCGAAAAGGTATCTACATTTAATATATTGCCAGAAACACTGAGGAATTTTAAACAAAAACAAATCTTTGGCAAAGTGTCCATATATACTATTTTCCCATCTATACACGGTTAGGATAGACTTAAGTGTTCAGGAAATGATTGATATATAAATTAATAAGTCTATATCAGCACCATCTAAGTGCCTAAGAACACTAATTGTTCTGAATAGAAATTATGATAGAAACAGTTTTCAGATTTATTATCTTATCATTTGTGAAGATGATTTTCATTAGAATCAGCATAAGAAGCAAAAATGTATAATGATCTTACTAGGAAGTAATACTATTCAAGAGTGCTGCTATTCTCCTAAATGAATTAAGTTGCAAGAAGACAGATGACAGTGTCCCAAAGACTTAAAAATATTAGGAACGCAACAAACAATAGAGAGGCATATTAGTAATAGATACTCTCTTTCCCTGGCCTAAACCTAAAGAGAATATATTGGCTCAAATGACTGTACCCTCCAGAGGTAGCTGTGGCTTCAGCGTGGTTTGATTAGACTTCCGACTCTCATTCTGAATGATGCACTGCCTTCTGGGTGTTGACTTTACCCTCAAGCTGGCTTCCCTCACATAGCAAACTGATTGCAACAGTTCCAGTCTTTACATCTGCACACCCTGGGGGGGTCCTTCAAGAGACAGAATTTCTCTTAACTATAGAGCAAAATTCCTGACCTTATTCTGATTGGACCAGGTCTGGCCTAAACCAATCATGATAGAGGGGTGGAATCCCACCATCTGGTTAAAGTATTCAAGGTCCATTCCTAGAGCTAGGGGTGAAGTCAGTCCCACCTAATCCAGTTATTACAAGAAGGAAAAGGATAGAATGGGATAGATAATGGGGAGGAAGATTAAAGTTTCCATTACCAGAGGATTCAACCTATATTTTCTTTATTAATTCATTGAACAGTAATTTACTAGGAAACTCTGATTATAAACAATTTGTGCTTGAGCTCAGGAGAATGGTGGAGGTAGGGAGTGTGCATAGAAGATAATTTTTGACAATGATTTAAATTCAGAGGTAGGAAGGGTTAATGAACTTAGGAAAACTCCGGAAAAATCTTAGAGTTCTGAAGCTAGGGTTCAGTAGAGAAGGGAAAAAAAAACAGTATTTCAGGTGAAGAAGCAGTTAAAGATTTGAAATCAAATAAGCATTGCAATTTGAGCGTGCTAAAGAACATGATGAAATACTTGTAAAAATCAAATCTTATCTCTCTATATATGTATGCATATAACAGGACTAAAAACAAGATTATGCCACATTGCTCTGGAGATAGGAGAATATCTTTATCAATATATGAGCACTATATCTTTTTCCTTTTTTTCCTTCTAAAGGCTGATCTTTCAAGGGTTTCCATCCTTACTTCTGTTATTAATACAAGTGAGATTAGCTCCTTGACATTCCTAATGCCTGATCAGAAAATTGCCTACTCAGACATAATATCCAAACAGGTGTCATTGGCTTGATAGCTCTCTCTCCCTCTCTCTCTCTCTCTCTCTCTCTCTCTCTCCCTCTCTCCCTCTCCCACCTTCCCTCTCTCTCACACACACACACACGTATACGCACGCACACATGCACACACACACACATTCACATATAAACACTCATACAGACATACAGAGTAATATGTTTATTCTTTTTAATGATTGAGTAGACCGGACATACTGGTAGTTTTACTCCCCCAGGTATCTTCGGTATCTTCTTTGCTGATGGCGTGTCCTTAAAGCACAGTGACCTTCATTCTCACTCCCTCTCTAATTTTTTGGTTTGCAACCTGTCTTCACTGTCAGTCTCTGCTCTGCTTTCTTCCCTGTCTCGTTTTAAAAATTAAATATAACACCTGCCCTCTGCTCTAGTACCTCAACTTCTATGTGCCACTCTTAAAAGGAAAATACCTGATAACAACTTTGGTTTCTCCCCCATGCAGGATTAAGTCTCCACTTGGATTTCTATCTTCTTCTAAAATCATTGTGACTTAGTGTGTAATCCTTAGAAAATCTGTTTCATAATTATCCAAGATGCTGCATAAACATGCAGCCTCCTGGATCTTATCCAAAGACCTATTGAATTTAAATCTCTGGGAGCACTCCAGGTGATTCTGAAACACAATGAAGATTAAGAACTGCTGCTCTACCCATTGAAGCAAAAAAAAAAAAAAAAAAAAAAAAAGAATCACACCCCCAACGCCATATGAATAAAAAGAAAAACTTCCAAGCTGTTCTTTTGCTACTCTCTACTACCCTACGTTCATGCTTTCAACATCACTTGACGCTTTCTTCTTTTTCCCCCACGCTGATGAAAAGCAATTACAAAAGGGGTAGGTGCCTCTGATGAGTGTGAGCTGTGATGGCTCATATAGCACATTTTCTCCGTGAACCATTGACATGACCATTGAAATAGGCTGTGGTTCTTAAATTTTAGTAGTCCCTGAACTAACAGCATCAGCATTCAAATCATTTGTTAGAAATGCAAATTTTAGTTTCCCTTTCCAGACCCACTAAATCAGAAACTCCTCTAAAATGAATTTCTTTTGCTACTGGGGAAAAAAAAAACAAAACAATTTATTGGGATTTTTTTCAACCAAATGTATTTGTAACTTTCTGATTCCCATCTGTAATCCTCAAACCATATTTCTTTACTCTTTTCGGAAGTATGTGTGTACCATTACACTCCTGGCAAGACTCTTGTGTTTCCAGAATGTAAGTCCAAGAGCTAACTGCCCTATGGATTGTTGTCTTTGTCCTGGTACCAGTAAAGTTGAGGCAATGAAGAGGAGACTTCTTTATTGGTGAGAAATTCTCATTTAATCTAGGAGTAAAGAAAATAGTAATATGTAGTGTTAAAAACTATATTGAAGATGGAGATAAGTTACTAGCACTAGGCATGAGGGAAAATGTCACTAAACCAGAGAAATAAAGCATTAGAAAACATATGCATGAAAATGTATACTAGACAAATTTCCTGAAAGAAATAAAATACTGGCTCTTGGGAAGAGATGATTCTATTAAAGAAATCATTTTTAAATTTTAAATTTTCTTTATTTGTATGATACATCTTGTCTATGTCTTTATTTCCACCATTCATATCTTTATTACACCTAAGGATTATATATTATTATTTTGGACTCCAAGTTTGTTTTTACTGTGTTCCAGTTCATATTCCTACCATCAAGATAACATAGAGAATGTCAGCTGGAGTCACTAGATTTTGTTCTTTCTTTGGTATCATTAGAAACTGTAGAGTAGCCTGTCTGTGCCCAGAAGCCTCCAGCTAATATATAAGTATTTAAAAATTGCTGCTGACTCCTTGGGAGACCCTGGCTAAAACAAAAGGAATATTTGACTCCAGTGACCATGGATTGACAGAAATCAGTTGAGGAAGAAGTAGGTCTACAGACCACAGCACAAGAGTCTTTAAAAAGTTTAAGAGAAGAGTTGGGCAAATTAAGAGACATAACATGTGATTGGTCCTGGAAGCTTGGAGTCCCTATACATACAAGTAGACAGAGAGGAGTCAGCAAGCCTGAGAAGACTTACAACAGCTTTGGAGGAAAAGGCAAATGAATGCTTCATCTTCATAAAAACAGAAAATGTACATAAAATATAAGTATGTATTTATATAACATATACATGCCATATCTTAGCAAAAGGGACCATTTATCCACTAGAAAGAAGTCTGTCAACTGAGATTTAAGATGCCAGACTAATATTACAAAACAATTTACTCTTTATTCAAACAGTGGCACCTCTGGTGTGGCCTTGGGCTAGGGAACAAATCTATCTGGATGACTTCACTAAACCCTTCCTCTGAGAAATCAAATAGTCTCCAGAGTCCTAGGGGAATGTGATTCCCATTCTGACCTGCAACATCAAAATCTCCCGTCTAGGATCTCTATCTGGTTTGTTTCTTTTAATGCTATAATAAAAATTGGTATTTGAATAATATTCAAGTAAGCTAAATTCTTTTCCCTCTGTGTAAGTGCTCGAGGTTTGCCACTCTCCTCTTCATTAGCATTGCTTTTCCATCAAGGAAAGGAAATGGATTGCAACTGAGTCACTAAACTTGGCTCTCTATGAGAGTCTCTGGTCAATTTTTGGTTAAGATTAGATACTGAAACCAAGTTGTTTCACAGTTATCTGTACATTTGTTTTTTGTTTATCTATCTCCTTGTCTGCTACCCGAAGTTCAGACTGCACTGTATATCTCCCTTAGTTTTACTATTGTGCTGAGTAGTCATGACAGGAGTTTACTCTCTGAGAGAAAGGGCACACAAGGTCACTACAGGGGTTATGAGTATAGTTTCTTTCTGAGAAAAATAAGCCTCAGGTACTTTTAAATCTCCTGCAGAGGGCTTGAATTTGGTAATGAAGGTGATCTTTCTCTCTCAATTAGGCAAATTATAGGTATCCTTAGTCGTTAACAATATCTCCAATGGATCTTCATGTTTGTTTCATGCGTCAGGCTTCTGAATTTTTGCTGTCTCATAAGTCTGATTGGTACAATCTACTTGGAAATCTTTTATACTTTGTAAGACCATGCTGTTTCCAAAGAAATGAAGAAAAGCATTACTAAAGTGATTTTATTTTTTATAGCCAACAAAATGAGAGTAAATTACAGTGACGTGAGGTCAAATTCACATTGAATAAAGGCTACTGGGTTATATCAGGTAGAGAGTGGCTCTGAAAAACTGTGTTTGTATTACAGATGGAAATAATATTAGTCATCTTGTATAGTTTCATATTCTAATACTTTAAGTTGTAGATCGGAGCATTACTTGACAAAGTCTAATTTCTATGCTTATAGTGAAAAATAGTTGTTCTCACTTCTCTGAGGTTAGTTATGTAGGAAATCCTTTTCCATTACTGAGTCCACATGGCACAATGACCACTAATGCCTGTTTTCTGCCACTGGATGAAATGAGATTACAGGTTTCATTCACTTTGTGGGCAGAGAGTGGAGCCAGGTTTC